GGGGGGGGGGCTGAGCTTTCGTTTCCCAAATCTGCTTGGCGTTGTTCCGCGCCGTCAAATCGCTTCCCGGTTATGCGGACTCCAGGAAAGACGAAGGGACCGTTAACAGCCCTGCCCAAGTCTTGCAAACTGAAGCCCCTGGGTCCCTTTAGTGCAGTGGTCCCCAACCTTGGGCCTCCAGATGTTCTTGGACTTCAACTCCCAGAAATCCCGGCCAGCAGAAGTGGTGGCAAAGGCTTCTGGGAGTTGTAGTTCAACAACATCTGGAGGCCCAACGCTGAGGACCACTGCTTTAGTGAGTTCCTCGTGACGGGTTCTTAACCTTGGGTTACTCAGGTGTTTTTGAACTGCAACTCCCAGACACCCCAGCCAGCACAGCTGGTGGTGAAGGCTTCTGGGAGTTGCAATCCAAAAACACCTGAGTAACCCAAGGTTAAGAACCCGTCACCTCTTCGGTCTTCCTCTTCTCCTCCTGGCTTCTACTTTTCCTAGCGTTTCTTCAGTGAGCCCTGGACCCTCATCCAGTGCCCAGTAGGGCTATCTCAGGATAAGGTGACACTAGAAGCAGGGAGAGAGCCTCTACGCCAGACTGTATACATCGAAACAGCTCCTGCCCAGTACAGTATGCTGACGTGGTCATATAAGTGAGCCATTTTAGGATATTGTCAAATTAATCACCTCCCCTGCTCTGTCAAAGGCAGAAGTGGGGTTTTTAAAAAACTGTATATAGATTATCTCTGATGCACTGCATCTTTCATTTAAAAAATTATAAATCTTTTTTCCCCTTCTCAGAGGGCCACTTCAGAAACTGCCTACAGCCAAAGTTACCACTATAGATTCAGCTGCAGGTGGTTTCTCACCAGCTCATTAAGGTGGGGCAGAGAAATACATTAAATTTTTTTATATAACTGATATAGCACACAAGCAATAGTCGACATACAGTCCGAAGTGGTGGGTTTTTTTTTAACTTCCCCTGCTCTCTGCCAAGAAGGGGAAGTGATTAATTTGACAACATCCTGAAGTGGCTCACTTATTAAGCCACTTCACCATACAGTATTGGCAAACTGAAAGAAGACAGCTTGCTTTGGACCAGTTGCAGCAGTCACATGCGCTGGAACCGATCCAAACCAGAATGATCCTGTGCACACCAGAAAAGTAGAAGCCCCTTGACAGGGGCCAGAAAGGTATGAATAGAAACACTCTGGGAGTTGGCTTGTGCACACTATCAAAGACATTGTCTGGTTGTCTTTAAGAGTGCATCACCCTGTCCCTGCAGGCATGCCAAATCGTGGGCTAAACATCTCATGTAGTCACAGCCTCTCAATTTACTCATTCTAGCTTCTAGAAAGAATTTGGGCTTGATTTGGTCCAACACCCACTTACTTGTCTTTCTGACTGCCGTGGTATCCTTAAAGCTCTTCTCCAGCATCACATTTCAAGTGAATTGATTTTTTTTCCATATCAGCTTTCACATCCATATAAGTATAGTAATTGGAAATGCCATAGTTTGCATGATCTTGACCTCCGTCTCCAGTGATCCCTCTTTACTGTTAAAGATCTTTGCTAGTTCCTTCATGGCTGTGCTTCCAGTTCTCACTTTTCTTCTGATTTCTTGCTTGTAGTCTTCCTTTGGATTGAAGTACAAGTTAATTTCAATTTTCTGCATTTTCAGAATTAATATCACATCCTTCTTCTGTAGTTCCTATTTTTCTCTCCTTAATGTTCAACAGTAGTTTTGCTTTGCAATTTGTTCTTTAACCTTCATCAGTAGTGGTTTCAAGACATTGCTGTTTTCTGCCAATCTCCATTTCTTAAATGACTGACATTCCGTCCACCAATTTGATGTAGTGTGTTCAGAAATGAACACTTTAGGAACTGAGATATGTATGTCTTTTGTTCACATGCTCAGCCTTCCTCGTGTGCCATCCAGTGCTCAGCAAATGAATTCTACAGATCAAATCGTTTTATTTATTAGCATGTCTAATTCTGCCCATCTACTAAAAAAGTTTTTAAGGCAGGCAACAAATCTCTAAAAAGAATAGTAATAAATAGAATCATTTAAATCAATGTATTGGTTTATTCATTAGTGTCAGAGTGTTGCAGTGTACAGGATTGTAGCAATGTTCACTGAATGATCTTTTTTAAAAATCATAAACCTTAATTAAGAACACATATACAATACAATATATGACCATGATCACTTATATATTAAAGGAAATATGTTAAATAACAACACCTTATTGCATGCACATTGCAGGGCATAATGATGTTGCACTGCTTGCTTTTCTCAGTTGGTTCCATCTATTTCACTAAGGGTAGTCTAGCTCTCCACAGACGTAGTCTGACTTCCTCTAGTTGAACTCTTGTTGCTGTAGAAGCTACGTCTAGATTTCAGTGGTATCCTTAAAGGCTGGTGGTCATTTAAAGGATGAGCTGTTGTTTTGCACTAGTTCTGTCATTATTTGTTGTCAATTGCTGTTGTACTTCAGGCAAAACAATACCCACCATATAGTATACCTCTACATGTCTCATTTAGTGCTATACCTACATGTTTAGCATGCATGAATTTGTACCTCACTGGACAAGCTGATTTTCAGAGTTTGATGGGCGAGTCCTCCAGTCAGTTCCGGAACGTTTTCTTAATAGACTGTTCCTGGCAGCAACTTTATGCTTGAAGTTTAAACAATGTTTTTATAGCTTAAATATTTTGGAGAGTAACCAGACTCTCACTGGACAACACAAGATGCCCCCACCTCCTGCTACTTGCAGCTTCTCTACTTCTTGGGTGAAAAGCATAGACCTGAGTTTTTCAATATTAGATTTTAATTGAGAGTGATAAGATTTCATGTAATGCGCATGTACATGTACACGTACTGTACATGACAATCACCAGAAACCCGTTCCTATCTGCCCACCACCATCACCACCAGAACTTCTATGCCTTCAACAGTTTAATAGTTCAGTAAAATTAAAGGGTGTGCCTGTCTCGACAATGAAAATCTTCCTGTCAACAAAAAGCCGTAGTTACTGTCATGCAGCTGATCAAAGCCAAGGATCTGTACCAAAGTCAGCTACCCCAATGGCCCCCAACCTTGGGCCTCCAGATGTTCTTGGACTTCAACTCCCAGAAATCCTGGCCAGCAAAAGTGGGGGTGAAGGCTGCTGGGAGTTGTAGTCCACAACCTTGGGCCTCCAGATGTTCTTGGACTACAACTCCCAGCAGCCTTCACCCCCACTTTTGCTGGCCAGGATTTCTGGGAGTTGAAGTCCAAGAACATCTGGAGGCCCAAGGTTGGGGACCACGGAGCTACCCCTCCCAGCTTTTGAAAGTAAGCTTAAAGAAACCCAGGTCTGAATTCCCAACAATTGGTATGTCTGCGTCAACAATAAGGGCTGCAAGTTATATTTATCTGCCAGGGTCTTGTGCCTTTTCCATCTCTGTGACAAGCAATATAATTTGGCAGGTGAAGTCATGGAAGTATTTAAGTGCTGCTTTTCAGTCATTCTAGATTCTGGGCTTCATTGCTTTATGGACAGAGATTCTATTCAGATGTGTCTTGCTTCAAAATGTGGTAAGCTAGCTCTGCTGCATGTGGAAGACTAGTTGATAGTTTTAGTGACTGGACCTGTGGACAGCTGTCCTAAAGTCTTATCCTGGGAGCGTTCTTGCAGGTGTTAGAATTATAGGAGCTGTGACTGACAAGTGTGTGTGGTCACTGGCTGTCTGAGAAAGGTAAGAAAGTATTTGAGAGAGAGATTTGATGTGATATATCTACCTTGCTCCGCTTCTGATTAGGTTAATTTATATGCCAGAATCCTATTGGAGTTTGTATGAGATTCACATAACTTGCTGCGGCTAATTGTGGCTAATTGGTGAGGTGCCAGGGTACATGTTGGTTGTGCAAACAGGCACATTGCCCAGAGTGGTCGACCAGACCAGATGGGCGGGATATAAATCAAATAAAAAATAAAAATAAATAAATGGCCAGGCCCAGAACCAAGACATGCCCCACACCTCATCAGTTAGCCTCAATTAAGTGAGGCAGGTTATGCAAGCCTTATCTGCATAGCAG